ATCGGTGACGTCGTCACGAGCGGGCTGGACAGCCCCGGTGAGTCAGCGCGAGGGGGTAGGGAGGAGGAGGGAGAGGGGAGGAGGGAGGATGAGAGAGGGGGAGGAGGAGGGAGGGATCAAGCGCGCGCACATGAACGGCACCGGCATCGGGGACGTCGTCACGAGCGGGCTGGACAGCCCCGGTGAGTCAGCACGAGGGGGGAGGGAGGAGGAGGGAGGATGAGAGGGGAGGAGGGGGAGGGAGGATGAGAGAGGAGGAGGAGGGATCAAGCGCGCACACATGAACGGTACCGGCATCGGTGACGTCGTCTTAACAGAATCTTTTCTCGTAGACAATCGACAGAACTTGCCAGAATGAATATAATCCTAACAAATTTCCTCGCAACTTACGCAACAAAACACCATCAACTAGTCTATGAGAAAAAGGAAGCCTTAAGACTAATATATATAATGTAAAGACTATAATGTCAAGACGAAGTATGTTGCTGACACCTGGTGAGCAGCGTGTGTGTGTGCACACATCCCACGCTGGGTGAGAACGCTGCATGCTCAGTGTGGCGTGTCACACATTGTAGGCGGGCTGGCGGTTGACTGGATCGGTGACAAGCTGTTCTGGGCTGACTCCGGCACATCTCGCATCGAGGTCGCCAACCTGGATGGATCCTCCAGGAAGGCCCTCATCTGGAAGAACCTGGAGAAACCCAGAGCCATTGTCGTGCATCCTGGGGAGGGGTGAGTGATCGCTGTTCTACTCACGCTCGCTACTCCCCTGCAAGGAATTATATATTATACTACATGTATATGCATAGATAATACATAATATAATAAAATAATAGAAGTTTAATATTGCAATTGTTCGATATGAAACGATTTTAAACATTAATTTTTAATAACATCTATTTATATTTATCTTTTATAACATTCATCATGAATGAAATAAACACCAACATTTTCGGGGTTCTTGCGAAAAATAATTGTCGTGCACACGTGCTTGCAGCACCCTCTACTGGACGGACTGGGGATCAACGCCGAAGATTGAGCGCGCGGCGATGGATGGGTCGGAGCGTATCGTCATCGCTGACAAGTCGTTATTCTGGCCGAACGGACTGACGATTGACTACGCGGCGGGAAAGCTGTACTGGGCCGACGCGAAGCACCATGTGATCGAATGCTCAAACCTAGATGGTAGCAAGCGCAAGAGCGTCATCAGTCAAGGTTCGTGCACCGATCGCACGCACGCACGCACGCACGCACGCACGCACGCACCGCTGCTGCTGCGTTGAGGCGTGGTGCCCCCTGCCAGGGCCATAACCAGTGTTGCCCGGGAGTTGCCAATGGCAAATTGCTTACGGTCACCTGCCCAGAACACAATCCACATGTGGTTTTGCTCCCCCCAGGCAAAGTGGTTGTGCCCTGCTCCTGGTGTGTCGACCGTGGATGGTGACGGAGGGCGTGGCATGCCCAGTGTGTCAAATATTGTTGGTGAAGTTGTACTTTTGGTATGGAGAGCAAATACTGTTCATAGAGATGGCGCCAGTAGCAGTGTGGCAGGAGGGGGCTACATCCTTCTCCACCTGTCGGGGGGAAAAGTTATGAAGAAAAATGCAGTTGCCCATCATTCGTAGCGCTGTTACTTATGAAAGCAATGACAAGGATGAAGGACTAATTTATCTGTACACTTGCCCATCCTTGCCTTCCCTCCCCCCGGTCATGGACCTCCCTCCGTCATGGACCATGCCCTCCCTCCCCCCGGTCATGGACCTCCCTTCGTCGTGGACCATGCCCTCCCTCCCCCCGGTTATGGACCTCCCTCTGTCATGGACCATGCCCTCCCTCCCCCTGTCATGGACCTCCCTCCGTCATGGACCATGCCTTCCCTCCCCCCGGTCATGGACCTCCCTCCATCATGGACCATGCCCCCCCTCCCCCTGTCACGGACCTTCCTCCATCGTGGACCTTGCCCACCCTCCTCCTGACACGGACCTTCCTCCATCGTGGACCTTGCCCTCCCCTCCATCGCGTGCTGTCTGTGTGGGATGCTGACTGGTCGTCTGCTTGTCTTGCAGGCCTGCCGCATCCATTCGCTCTCACCATCTTTGAGGACCAGCTCTACTGGACCGACTGGCACACAAAGAGCATCAACAAGGCGAACAAGCTGACAGGCAACGACATCTCGACTGTGCACAAGCAGCTGCACTTCCCCATGGACATCCACACCTTCCACCCGCAGCGGCAACCTCCATGTACGTGCCGCGCGTCGTCGTCGTGGCGACGGTGATGTCATCGTCACGGTCGGGGGTATCGTCATCGTCACGGTCATGGCCGGGGGCATCGTCATCATCACGGTCGCGGCCGGGGTCATTGTCATCATTATGGTTGCGGCCGGGGGCATCGTCATCATCACGGTCGCGGCCGGGGTCATCGTCATCATCACGGTCGCGGCCGGGGTCATCGTCATCATCACGGTTGCGGCCGGGGTCATCGTCATCATCACGGTCGCGGTCGGGGTCATCGTCATCATCACGGTCGCGGTCGGGGGCATCGTCATCATCACGGTCGTGGCCGGGGTCATCGTCATCATCACGGTCGCGGTCATGGTTGGCGTCGTTGTTGTGACCAGATTTGTCGTCAGTCATGGTCGTCACGGTCATCTCAAGTTTTTCTAGCATATTTGGTTTTTCTATTTTTGATGATCTTGGTGCAAAGAAACTGTGTGTGATTACTAATGGTCATAGTGATCATACATGGTCGTCATTCAATCCTATAATTATTAAATCACATAGTTATTACATTCTATAGATATTACATCCCATAATTATAACATCCTATAACTATTACATCCCGTAGTTAGTACATTCCATAACTATTATATTCCATAATTATTATTTCGATAACTATTACATTCCACGCATAATTATGTTGCATGAATCTTTACATTGATTAGAATATTGAATTGCATGCATAACTACCTCACAGACATCATTGCATTGTATGCATCACTACATTGCATTCAATATTAATTTGCATGCATCCTTACATTGCACACAATATTAATTTGCATGCATAATTACATTGCACACAATATTAATCTGCATGCATGATTACATTGCACACAATATTAATCTGCATGCATGATTACATTGCACACAATATTAATCTGCATGCATGATTACATTGCATGGGTAATTAATTCTACAGACTTCTCAGACTCGTAAGCTTAATTGTTGTCGTGCTTGCAGCCTTGAATCGCTGTGGTCAGCGTAATGGCGGATGCAGCCACCTATGTCTGCCCAGCAGCCGCGCTTTCTCCTGCGCTTGCCCTACCGGCTTCAGACTCGAGGCGGACCAGAAAACCTGCGCGGAAAGTGAGTGGCGCCCTCTATGTTCGTTGTCGGTGACTGCGTGTTAAACTGGGTTTATGCTACCGACTTTGTGTTAGCTCCTTGGACCAATTTCGCAATTCGGCAACTCCGAGTTGGCGAAAGTAGAACATGTTCCAATCTCCCAACTATAGTTGCTATCGATCGGTTGGTCGCGCAACTTTTGCGTTTACACTGCTATTATTTTTATGCTGATTGTCGGTTGTATAGTTGGAAAGTTGGTCCAATTCGTCAATTCGCCAACACCAAGTTGGTGTGATTATCCCTGTGATTATCCATAATACCCAAGTTTGTACCTTTACTCTATGTAAACTGATAAACAATGATTTATAAGACATAGACGCTGAACCAGCCTAGAACATTGTGTAAAGTCATTAAGACGTGATGTCATATACCTGTTCGCGTAGATGTCATTTTACTTAGCCATTCAATATCTGAAATGATTATGGATATCAATGTACATGTGTAATTCTAGCTAAGTGATGGGGATGTAGTGATAGCCATACTACCGCCACCTAGTGCCAAACAAGCCTACTAAAGTTAACTGGTTTAAGAGATCCTATCTTATCGTTCTCCAAGATGGCTAGGTTGGCTTAGCAGTCACAATCTGTTGCTCTGATTAAAATCACCTCTATCCGCGTCAATCCGTCTTCTAGTGTTTATGTAAATATAGACAATATCACTTCAGTATCGTAGGTCGTAACTATTGCGCGACAGTTCGCTGCATGACGTTTTAGAATTAAGTTGTTGCATGATGCTTCTTACTTAGAACTGGCTCCTGTTTGGACATTTCTTACGCAGCAGAGTAAGGTGCTGTCTTCACGGCAGGGTCTTGCACGCAAAATTCAACGCATATCAAAAACTCAACCTGTCCGAAAAGCTCTCTCGAAATTATGATGTGATTTTTTTATGAAAATTATATCAAAATTTATTTAAAATTATCTGCGCGAAGCGTGGCGACATTGCAGAGTGTCCTCGCAGTTCTCTTAACATCGATATTATTGTACGCTTTTTAAACTTTTTGTTTGCGCGCTATATTTAACCGATATCAAAGACTCCTTTTCCGAATTTTCGGCTTTTAAGCTCTTAATATTACTTCCTTACGTCATCGTGCGGCGACATTGTGGAGTACACAGCGGCGCCACCTGTGTGTGTGTGTTTCAGGGATCGACACGTTCCTGCTGTTCGCGCGCCGCTCCGACATGCGACGCATCTCTCTCGACACGGACGACCTCATGGACGTGGTGCTCCCCCTGGTGGACGTGCGCAGTGCCGTCGCGCTAGACTGGGACGCTGACGGCCGACACATTTACTGGAGCGACGTCACCGCTGATCGCATTAGCCGGGCTAACTGGGATGGCACTAACCAGGAGGTAGGTGGCGCCCCCACCGCGCGGCCGCCCGCTGTCCGCTAGTTCTCGAATTTGTTTGTTCTTGCATTTCCGTGTTGATGGCTGTTCACTTGTTCTCACGGTTGTGCGCTGACGGATGTTCGCTTGTTCTTCTGCTCGCACCAGCGGCTTTTCACTCATTCTCACGTTTCTGCTCTGATGGCTGTTCACCTGTTCCCGTGGTCGCACGCTAACGTTCGCTTGTTTGTAGGTGCTTGTCAGCACTAGCATGGAGTCGCCGGCGGGCCTGGCAGTCGACTGGGTTGGTCGCAAGCTCTACTGGACTGAGGCAGGGCTCGATCGCATTGAAGTTGCCAACCTGGATGGCTCCATGCGCACTGTGCTCGTGTGGGACGGGCTAGATCGCCCCCGTGACATCATTGTAGACCCCATTGGAGGGTGAGTGTGTTGCTGTGGTGTGTGGGGAGGGGTGGGCGTGTCTGGAGTGTGGGGTGGGGCGCCTCGTGACGAATCAGGGGATACCCCCATACCTCCGACTTAACTTCCATCTCTCTCTCGCTCTACTCTTCTTTCTCTTCTCTCTCTCTCTCTCTCTCTCTCTCGTTCTCTCTCTCTTCTCTTCTCTCTCTCTCTCTCTCTCTCTCTCTCTCTCGCTCTTCTCTCTCTCTCTTCTTCTCTTCCTCTCTCTCTCCTCTCTCTCTCTCTCTCTCGTCCCTCTCTCGCTGTCTCGCCCCTCTTCGCTCTCCTCTCTCATTCCTCTCTCTCTCTCTTCTCTCTCTCTCTCTCTCGCTCTCTCTCTCATCTCGCTCTCTCTCTCTCTTCCTCTCTCCTCTCTCTCTCTCTCTCTCTCTCTCTCTCTTCTCCTCTTCTCTCTCTCGCCTCTCTCTCTTCTTTTTCGTCTTTCTCTCTCTTGGCGTCCCTTACAGCAATGTACGTGGGGCAACCTAGCCCTCTCACTCTCATCTCTCCCTTACAGTACATGTTCACTGGGGCAACCCTAACCTTCATCTCTCTCTTCTCTTACGCTCGATGTATTGGACAGACTGGGTGAGTCACCTAAGATAGAGCCGCGCCGGCCATGGACGGGCTCGAATCGGCAGACTCCATCACCAGCCAATGACATGGCGCCGGACGACGGCGTCTGCTGTTTGATACCGACCACGCGCGGTCTACTGGTCCGGAATGCTGGCATGAAGACGATTCGAGCGGTAACTCAAACCTACGGTATGCCAATAGGAGGACGCCGATGATCACAGCGCGCGAGAGCGATACTGAGACGGCATCCAGTCGTGCATCTCGCTCGTACGTGATACTAATACGCGTTACTGAGCCACCCCGCTAATCGTGCTTTTTTATGTGTAATTACCAGAATCTCGTCGTTTTACTTTTAATTACGAATCTCCGTCGTTTTATTTTAATTCACGATCTCGTCGTTTTTATTTTATGACGAATTCTCGTCATTGTTTTTTGTAGTTTGATGATCTCTTCGTTTTTGTTTTTAATTGTAGAATCTCTTCGTTTTTTTTAATTGCGATCTCGTCAGTTTTCCTTTTTAATTACGATCTCGTCGTTCTTTACGAGTTCTAACTATAGGCAACGACGACAGCGTCGTTCAGTGCGTTGTATCGACGCTGCTCGTTAAGCACAGGTGGTGGTAGGGGACGGCGTACTATTCACACGCCCCATCATCTCAAGCTGTTTGCCAGTCAGTTATTATCGATCCTCGCCTATATTCGCGCAAAAGAAACATTTTAGCATTGTTTACAGTGTGTGGAGATCGGTTTGTTAGAGTGTCTACGATCCAGCGCGGGAAATTGCCCGTTTGCAATTACCTTTAATTTGCTCGTTGCCAATTTACCTCTATTTGCGGCTTTTACTCATGGAGATTTTTTCTGTATAAATACACGTGATTTGAATCCACGACGACTCCGCACCCTTACCCTCCTCCGCTTTACGCTTTCGTTTTTTCCGCACGGTGTTGCTGGGTAGTCGATCTGGCATCCGTTCGGATGCTCTGTATGGGATATGATCTACTGGACCGCGGCGGCGAAGAACGTTCAACGAGCGGACAGCAGGGAGGCTGCATCGCACGGTCTGTGCGCGGCAACTGGAGAATTCCATGGACATACCCTGTACCACGCGGCGGCAGATGGGTGAGCGCTTGCATGCGTTAGCTGTGCTCACCCATCCCTAACCTGACCCTGTCCCTAACCCCTGACCCACTGACCCGCTGACCCTGACCCCAACCCTTGGACACCTACCATACCTTAGATATAGCTCTACCCATAGAAAAGCCACCTCCCACACTGTCCCATCCACCACATCATGATATGTTGCTGATGCGTGCCATTGGTGCATTGCCGTGTTTGATTAGCATTAGGGTTAGTGTCAGGTAGGCGTGGCTTGTCTAAGCTTAGGCCTTGGTTTCAGTGCCAGGTTATTGGTTAGACCGGAATGTGATGTGCGCATACTGTATGTACAGCATGTCCACGTGTACCTGCAGCTGTTCTATGTGATGAACATGACTGACATGCGCGTTTCTTGCAGTGCCCAACCTGTGTAAAGCTATAACGTGGCTTCAGTTCTGTGCTGCTCGCTCTTAAGGGATACAGCTGTGCCTGTCCCACAAGGCTTCAACCTGGTCGACAGGCGCCCCTGCTCTACAGGTACGTGGAGAATCAGTAACAAGAGTAGATAATATAACATTATAAATTATATGAAAAATATAAAAAAGCAAAACAAAAAAATTATAAATTACTTATTATGTAATACGTAGATGTTTTATTACTCTTGTCTTAATTATACTTCATGCTTTTTTATGTATGGAATATCTTTGTATCACATCGTATAGTAGGCTTAATTAAAGGACTTCTCATCCCTCGGCTCCGTCGCGCTTATCTCTCCCTCGCTCCCGTCCGCGCTATTCATCTCCAGCTCCCGTCGCGCTATTCTATCCTCGTCCCAGATCGCGCTATCTCATCCCTCGCTCCCGTCCGGCGTAATCTCATCCTCGCCTCCCGTCGCGCGTCTCATCCTCGCTCCCGTCGCGCTATCTCATCCTCGCTTCCCGTCGCGCATTCTCATCCCGCTCCGTCGCGCTATCTCATCCCTCGCTCCGTCGCGCTAGCTTCATCCCTCCGCTCCCGTCGCGCTATTAGCCCTCGCCTCCCCACTCCCGTGGACTGCCCACCCCTCCTGTGAGCTCCACCCCAGACTGTCGCGCTTCCCTCCCTCGCTCCGCCGCGCTATCCCATCCCTTTCGTTTGCCGTCGCAGCTATCTCATCTCCGCCTCCCCCTCGCGCTCTATCTCAATCCCTCGCTCCGTCGCGCTATCCGCATCTCTCGCTCCCGTCGCGCTATCATCATCCCTCGCTCCGCTCGCGCTATCCATCCTCGCTCTCCGTCGCGCTATCCCATCCCTCGCTCCCGTCGGCGTATCTCATCCCTCGCTCCCGTCGCGCTACCACTCGCTCCGTCGGCGCTATCTCGATTCCCTCAGCTCCGGCTGCGCTATCTCATCCCTCGCTCCCGCTCGCGGCATGTATCCCTCCGCTCCCGTCCGGCTGACCCTCGCTTCCGTCGCGCTCATCTCATCCCTTCGCTCCCGCGGCGCTATTCATCCCTCCGCTCCGATCGCGCTATCCATCCCTCGCTCCGTCGCGCTACCCTCGCTCCCGTCGCCGCTATTCATCCTCCGCTCCGTCGCTGCTATCTATCCCTCGCTGTGGCGGGCTGGGCGGGGGTGCGGGCGGGGCGTGGATCTCAAGTCGCTGGCGGGGGCGTGCGGGGGCGGGGTCGGGCGGTGTCTCCGCGGGGGGCGTCCCGTCGGGCGCTAGCCTCGCTCCGTCAGGCGGGCGGTAGTTCATCCTCGCGTCCCGGTCGGCGGCGGTATCGTCAGTGCGCGCGGGTCGGGGCGGCTCGCGCGGGTCGGGGGCGGCGGTAGGGTTCTTCGCGGCGGCTGCCCGGGCGGGCGGCGGGTGGTCCCAGTTGCGCCTCGGCGGTGCCGGTCGGCGGCGGGATCTGGGCCTTGCGGGGGGCCGGGCGCGGTGCGCGGCTATCGTGGAGTCCCTCGCTCCGATCGCGCTACTCCAATCCCTGCGCTGCTCAGCGTACCCTCGCTGTTCCCGTTCGCGCTATCTCATCCCTCGCTCCCGTCGCGCTATCTCATCCTCGGCTCCGGTCGCGACTATCTCATCCCTGCTCCGTCGCGCACTATCATTCCCCGCTCGATCGCGCTATCTCTCCTCCGCTCCCCAGCCGTCGCGCGTGTATGCGCATCCTCGCTCCCGTCACGCGCTATCTCATCCATCGCTCCCGTCGGCGACTATCTCATCCTCCGCTCCCGCGCGCTATCTCATCCCTGCTCCCGGTCGCGCTTCTCATTCCCCTCGCTCCCGGTCGGCTATCTCATCCCTCGCTCCGTCGCGCTATCTCATCCCTCGGCTCCCGTCGCCTATCCCATCCCTCGCTCCGTTCCGCTTTCATCCTCGCTCCCGGTCGGCGGGGGGGCTATACTATCCGTAGGGCGGGGGGCTCCCGTCGCGCTATTCATCCTCCGTCCGTGTGCGCTATCATCCCTCGCCTCCCGTTCGCGCTATCTCATCTGCTCGTCTCCGTCGGCCGCTTGCCATCTGTCCTGCGCTTCCCGTCGCGCTATTCCCATCCCTCGCTTCCGTCGCGCATATCTCATCCCTCGCTCCGTCGCGCTATCTCATCCCTCGCTCCCTCGCGCTATCGTCGATCCCTCGCCGGTGCGCGTCGCGCTGATCTCATCCCTCGGCTCCGATCCTCGCTCCCGTTGCGTCTCATCCTCGCTCGTTCGCGCTATCTATCCCTCGCTCCGTCGGCTAGGCTCATCCTCGCTCCGTCGCGCTATCCGTCATCCCTACGGCTCCGTCACGCGATTCTATTCCTTGCTCCCGTTCGCCCGCTAATCTCATCCCTCGCTCCTCCCTCGCTCCCGTTGCGTATCTCATCCCTCGGCTTCCCCGTCGCGCTATCTCATCCCTCGCTCCCGTCGCGCTATCTCATCCCTCGCTCCCGTCGCGCTATCCCATCCCTCGCTCCCGTCGCGCTATCTCATCCCTCGCTCCCGTCGCGCTATCCCATCCCTCGCTCCCGTCGCGCTATCCCATCCCTCGCTCCCGTCGCGCTATCTCATACGTTGCTGTCTCTTCGTGTGTCTTTTGCAGAGCTGCGTGAGTTTCTGATCTTCGCGCGCGGCACAGACATCAGCACCATCTCGCTGACAGCGCCATACTACGCTGACGTCGTGCTGCCGATACCTAACCTACGCAACGCCATCGCCATCGACGTTGATCGCGTCGACAGTACGTATGCTGACGCCCCCTGGTGGCATCTCCCAGAGACGCTGTTGCGCGTGAAAGCGTTTGTTATTTGCCATTTCAGCATTTTAATCATATCAACAGGATTTTACGGGCTGTAGGGTTCGTGGGTAGTTAAGATAGATTAGAGTTCGTAATTGCGTACGATAATAATGAATTAATTAATTACGTGATATAATAATTGATTTCTGCTTCGCAGTGGTGTCCTGCTAGTATGATGAGGGCTTTGGAGTCACTTACCTTTACGCATCTATTGTTCTGTGGTCAGAGTTGCTACCTTTACATAAATATTGCGTGAATTACTTTCACAAATCATTATATTCTAGTTATACTTCCACGATTGATCATTTTACGATCTTACCTTTACGTCGTGTTCTCACCGCGTGCCTCTCTCCGGAGACGCTCTATATCATACAACATCATTGTACATCACATCATATCTACATGTGTATCGTTTCCTCTCGTGCTCTCACCGCGTGCGCGCCTCTCTCTCTCTCCGCCTCTCCCCAGAGAAGCTCTACTGGTCAGACAGCATCCTGGACCGCGTCCAGCGGTCAGAGCTCGACGGATCGCTCGTCGAAGACGTCATCGTCAACGGCCTGAACACGACGGACGGCCTCGCGGTCGACTCCGTCGGACGCAAGCTCTACTGGACGGACATGGGCAGCGGTCGCGTGGAGGTCGCCAACCTGGATGGGTCGATGCGCAAGGTGCTCATCTGGCAGAACCTCGACAGTCCGCGCGCGATCGCCCTGCAGTACCAGGCTGGGTGAGTGAAGGTGTGGGGAGGGGGGGATGTAGGTTGGGGTGGGGGTGGTGGTGAGGGAGTGGGGGAGCAGTTCTGACCTCCCATCTCTCTCTCCCTTACAGCTACATGTACTGGGGCAACCTAACCTCCCATCTCTCTCTCC